GACTGCAAGGTCGGTGAGTCAAGCTCTCCAGCTGCTCTTTAGAAACCCTAGGCAGGGTCGCTATGGGTCAGAACTGACTCGATGGCACTTCACAGCAACGGTCCTACTTTTGAGATAGAGCAGTCTCTCCACTGTGTGTTTTCATATGTGACATGAAGTGTGAGCAACACCTGATGGTTTTCCCACACTCCTTACATTCATAGCGCCTCTCTCCACTATGAATTCACTTAAGTGCAGTGAGGGCTGTGGAAAAAATAAAGACTTTTCTACATTCTTTACACTCACAGGAGTCTCTGTACACTGCGGATTCTTCTATGTCTTGTGAGGCTTGAGTATTGGAAAAAGGTTTTCCCACAGTCCTTACATTCATAGGGCCTCTGTCCACTATGAATTCACGTAAGTGCATTCTTTTCTACATTCTTTACACTCATAGGGGCTTCACTCCACTGTGGAGTCTTCGATGTGTAATGAGTTTTGAGGCATGCCTGACGCCTTTCCCACACTTTACATTCATAGGGCCTCTCTCTAACTGTGGATTCTTACATGTTTTCTGAGGTCTGAGGAACACCTAAAAGCTTTCCCACACTCCTTGCATTCATAAGGCCTCTCGCAACTGTTAAGTTCAAATGTATTCAGAGAGGTATTAGGAATGGCTAAACATTTTTCCACATTCCTTACATTCATAAGGCCTCTCTCCACTGTGAGTTCGCGTGTGTGTAGTGAGGTGTGAGGAATGGCCAAAGGTTTTCTCACATACCTAAAATGCGTAAGGTCTCTCTCCGCTGTGGATTCTTCTGTGCCTGCTGAGGTTTGAGGATCGCCTGAAGACTTTGCCGCATTCCACACACTCGTAAGGCATTTCGCCACTGTGAATTCTTACATGCTTAGTGAGGGCTGAGGAACTGATAAAGGCTTTCCCACATTCTTGGCACTCGTAAGGCCTCTCTCCACTGTGGATTCGCATGTGTTTGGTGATATTTGAGGAACACCTAAAAGATTTCCCACACTCCTTACATTTGTATGGTTTCTCTCCGCTGTGAATTCTTGTGTGTGTATTGAGGCTTGAGGCCTGCCGGAAGGCTCTCCCACACTCCTTACATTCGAATGGCATCTCTCCACTGTGGATTGTCACATGCTTTGTGAGGACCGAGGAGCAGTGGAAGGCTTTCCCACAGTCCTTACATTCATACGGTTTCTCTCCAGTGTGGGTTCTGATGTGTGTAGTGAGGGCTGAGGTTTGACCGAAGGTCTTCCCACACTCCTTACATTCGTACGGTTTCTCTCCGTTGTGCAGTCTTCTGTGTTTAGTGAGGTATGAGGGTTGTCTGAAGGCTTTCCCACACTCCTTACATTCGTACGGTTTCTCTTCGCTGTGGATTCTTCTGTGTGTAGTGAGGTCTGAGGATTTCCTGAAGGCTTTCCCACAATCCTTACATGGATATGGCATTTCTCCACTGTGGAATCTCACGTGGTACTTGAGGACCGAGGAAAAGCGAAAGGCTTTGCCACAGTCCTTACATTTGTACGGTTTCTCTCCAGTGTGGGTTCTGATGTGCGAAGTGAGGGTTGAGTTTTGACGAAAGGTCTTCCCACACTCCTTACATTCATAGGGCTTCTCTCCACTGTGAGTTCGCATGTGTGAAGTGAGCTGTGAGGAACGGCCAAAGGTTTTCTCACATACCTTACATTCATGAGGTCTCTCTCCACTGTGAATTCTTCTGTGCACGTTGAGGTTTAAGGCTCGACTGAAGACTTTGCCACATTCCACACACTTGTAAGGCATCTCGCCACTATGAGTTCTTACGTGCTTAGTGAGGGCTGAGTAATCAATAAAGATTTTCCCACATTCTTGGCACTCGTAAGGCCTCTCTCCACTGTGGATTCGCATGTGTGTGGTGAGGTTTGAGGAACATCTAAAAGATTTCCCACACTCCTTACATTCGGATGGTTTCTCTCCACTGTGGATTCTTCTGTGTGTAGTGAGGTCTGAGGATTTCCTGAAGGCTTTCCCACATTCCTTACATACAAATGGCATCTCTCTACTGTGGTTTCTCAAATGGTACATGAGGCCACAGGAAGAGCGGAAGGCTTTGCCACAGTCCTTACATTTGTACGGTTTCTCTCCAGTGTGGGTTCTGATGTGTGAAGTGAGCGATGAGGTTTGACTAAAGGTCTTCCCACACTCCTTACATTCATAGGGCTTCTCTCCACTGTGAGTTCGCATGTGTGTAGAGAGGTGTGAGGAACGGCCAAAGGTTTTCTGACATACCTTACATTCATGAGGTCTCTCTCCGCTGTGAATTCTTCTGTGCACATTGAGGTTTGCGGCTCGACTGAAGACTTTGCCACATTCCACACACTTGTAAGGCATCTCGCCCTTGTGAGTTCTTACGTGCTTAGTGAGGGCTGAGTAATTGATAAAGATTTTCCCACATTCTTGGCACTCGTAAGGCCTCTCTCCACTGTGGATTCGCATGTGTGTGGTGAGGTATGAAGAACACCTAAAAGATTTCCCACACTCCTTACATTCGTAGCGCATCTCTCCACTGTGGATTCTCACGTGGTTCGTGAAGGAGGCGGCATCACTGAAGGCTTTCCCACGGTCCTTACATTCATATGGCTTACTTCTATTACGAACCTTTTTACGTAAAATGAGCGATGAATAACGACTGAAGGTCTTGCAACACTCCTTGCAGTCACGCCGATGAGTTCTTAGATGTTTCCAGAAGGTTGGGAAACTGGAGAAATCTTTTCCACACTCATCACACAGATAGCGTCTCTTACCTGGCAGTGTGGGTGCAGGGTGACTGAGGGCTGAGATACAAAGCAAGTCCTTTCCACAGGCCTTACATCTGTGGGGGGTCTTCCCATTAAGAGTTCTCATAAGAGCGGTCAGGTGACAGAGACAACTGCAAGCT